GCAAAGCAAAAACCGGAGTTTGGTTGATCCAGTGAAAATTGCTCTTTTGTTTTGCCACGCATGGTTACCTCTTTTTGACATACAGTTTCTGAAATCATATTCTGATATAATTATTTTTCTATTTAATAATGTAATAATTTCTTATATTTGATAAGTTAAAGTATACAAAAGCATAAAGCTGATTAAAAAACATAACCTGTAATCCTATCACCATGAGTTAGTCACCTTAGTATTTTGGTGTTTTTATCGGTCAAATACATAGTTACCTGATAGCTTTTTTTGAGGCATGACATTGTTAATATATAGAGGAATCCTTTGTTTTTATTCTCCGGTGATATTTTATAGACTTCTTTCAGAAAACCCTTGGGTCCTGGCACTCAGTTTTCCACCACCAGCACAAGAATGGTCATCTTTCCTTTGTTTTCAGGATGTAAAATATGCTGGCATGTAAGGGAATGATCTGGCATGTGAATATCTATTTTTACAGGATAAACTTCAAATGGCCAAAGTGATGCCAACGAGAGGTGAAAGAGTCTCTGCTAGCTAAGAAATGGTCACATTCAGAGCTGAGCGAAAGGAGAAAGAACTATACCAGAAAGTATTTCACTAAAATCTAGGTATAGTTAAGCTTCATTTATTTTGCCTGCAGTTATTTTCTGATTCACATGATTAGGTAATGAAATGAGTATGAAAAGAGGGAAAACGTTGTATTGAGTGTAGATGATAGAAAGGTGTATGAATGATGGATGGTGCTCCCTCAGTGAGTGGTGCCCCTTGGATGGGAGGTAATTGCGGACAATCTGTTGAGTTTGACCACCAGTGATGACCTATCCAAGTCAAAGGTCTAGTTCTTGAAGCTGATTGCGTTTCACGGGCTTTGATCTACTGACAGGTAAGAATCTGGGGTGTGTGCATGTGTGCATGCGCATGTGTGTGTGAGTGTATAGGCCAACATGTATTTGTAATGTCATTCAAGATACAGATGTCTGGGAGGTATTATTATTTTTCTTTAATTTATGTTTATTTTTGGCTTATTAAGGACCTCATGGGGGTCAGAGGTGGGAGTACACCAGGCAATCTGCTTTTAAAAAAGCAATTTTCCCTCACTTTTGTTTATATCAAATATATTATTTATTTTTTATCTTTAAAGAAAGTGTAAAATTATTATTTTTAAAATTCATATGTTTTCTTCTAAAGATAGTCTTAAGGGATTTCTATACCCAGGACTCCACAACACACACTGCTGATTTTGAGATTTGGACTTTGGTTTGAAGCCAATTTTTCATCTCTTTAGCTTCGCTTTTAGTCTTTCTAAATCCATAAATGCTGAATGCCAGAATTTTAATGTAAACTGACCTTGGGCCCAGTTTGCAATTGATCCCTAATTACCCAGTGAAAACTGATACAGGACCCAAGGAGACTGGAGAGCTGAATGATGGGGTTAGATGATAAATTAAAGCCTGTGAAGAAAGTAAAAAATAGAAATGGATGATGGTGAAATTTTTCTAAAAATTTATTTTCCTTCATCAGAACCTGAATAAATAGCCCTGTAGTAGAGCCAACTTTGAAAAACAGTAATGTTACTTAGACAGATCATACACTTTCTACTGACATTTGATTAGTCCTACTATGTTTTATAGAGGACACTGTTACTTTAGCCATCCTAGAGCACTTGCAGACTCTTGAAATATGATGTTTTCTTGTTTTCAAGCCTCTGTCCTCTTTCTTGAAATTTTATCCTTCAAAATGCAATTTAGCAATTGTTCTGGGAAATGTCCCTCTCCTCTTCCTCTTTATTCTCAGTATCTAACATCAGGTCAAGTACTGGATGTCCAATACATTTTAAGACAATCTGTAAATGATATAGGGATCAAAACTACTGGTGAGAAAATTACTTCTTTCCATTCGAGAAAGGCATTGCAGAGAGGTACAGTTTCAGAGGTGGGGAAAAGGAAGGAAGACATGAAGAATATAAAATTTTTATGCATGAACTTTTTTTAGATGACTTAAAAATTACTTCTGATAAAAAATTGGAAAAAGGTGAATATCCAACTACATTTCTACAATTGTCTCTGAGTCAATAATAATCAAATATTTGTATCAAAATAATAAATATTACTAGTTCTTGCTTTTTTCGTGCTTGTGTGCTAAGTTGCCTCAATAGTGTCTGACTCTTTACAAACCTATGGACTCTGTAGTCCGCCAGGCTCCTCTCTCCATGGGGATTCTCCAGGCAAGAGTACTAGAGTGGGTTGCCATGCCTTCCTCCAGGATATCTTTCTAACCCAGGGATTGAACCTGTCTCCTACATCTACCTGCATTGGCAGGCAGGTTCTTTACTACTGGTGCCACCTGGGAAGCCCTAGCAAAGTTTTATGCTCATTTTTGGAACAGAAGCTAGTTTTTATTTAATTTCCTACAAATTTTAATAATACTCTTACTAAAGTCTGAGGACCTAAGAAAGAAGTGGAGTGGTTAGAAAAAAAGCTAAGTGTGTTAAAAATATAAAAATCTGAAAAATGTCTCAAAATGATTAAATAAGGCAATTTTATAAAATTTTAAAAAGATGGCATTGATTGGAAGTTGGTTTTGTCTAGAAATATGAGTCAGAAAATATGTAGCAAATATTTTTCAGAATTTATTGCAAACCTGTTTTTATAAAAGGCTAAAAGCAATGAATGAAATATTGGGAAAATATTTTCATGCTTGAGACTGTAGATAGAATAAATCAAGGGGAATATGGGCTCTTACTCAAAAAGAAAGTTTATCACATTTTAAAATTCCGCAGTTCAATTCTTATAATACTATTGTATTGAGTCCTGAAATAAGTCTATTAGTTCATGAGAAGTCAGGCATTGCTAAGTAATCAGAGAGTTCAGAGGAATCAGAATTTCAGAACTGGAATGAACCTGAAGTATAATCTAGTCTTGCCTCTTTATTCTATAACTGAAGAATCTGAAGCTTAGAGAATGAGATGGATTGTCCAGGGTGACCTAGGGAATCACTAATAGAGTGGGAACCAGGAGTCTAGAATTTAGGAGCTCAGCCTGGAGCCCACTGCTGTTGACACTGTATCATGCTAGGTTACGTGTCAATAATGTCTTTACTAGCAATTTAATGCCAATTATGTATGGCATTAAACTGTTGCCCTGGCTGGATAGATTTCCATTCTTGAGAATGATAAAGTGTAAGTACATTTGTTGTTGTTGAGTCACTTAACTGTGTCCAACTCTTTGCAACCCCATGGACTGTAGCACCCCAGGCTTCCCTGTCCTTCACCATCTCCTGGAGCTTGCTCAAACTCAAGTCCATTGAGTTGATGATGACATCCAACTATCTCATCCTCTGTTACCCCCTTCTCCTCCTGCCCTTAATCTTTTCCAACATCAGGGTCTTTTACATTTAACAACTATTTATTCAATCCATTGCTATGCTTGGCACTCAGAAAATTGAAAAATAATAGAAGATCCAGTCCCTGCTTTGATGGCATAGGAAATTAGAAGCACCTTGCAAAAGTGTAAACTTTTCAAGGCCTAAATTATCTTACATTCAATGTGTTCTCAGCAGTTGACATAGGACCTGGCATACTGGACGGCCAAGAACTGCTGAGTGAATCAAATTGGAGAGATGACACATCCCTAATTCATCCCATCATGACCATTAAATGGTTTAACAGCAAATTATGAGCAAGTGCGCTAAGAGGAGGCCTTACAGTGTGACATCCTGTTTTCTAAGTAATGGGAATATTTTTTCAGTTTGTACTCCATTTAGCCTTTGCCTTTTTACAATTTTGTTTTTGTTTGTTTTTTGTAAAGAAGGAAGATAGTGACATTCAAAAAAACTCAACCTTGCCATCTCCACAGCATTGCAAAATATTGAGGTAGCAGGTAAAAGATAAGCCATCTAACCATGGAGAAGACTCAGAAGTATAAAACAGCTTTCCTGGTGGCTCTCCTGCAAAGAAGGAGATTCCTGAATAGGAAAGATCCCCTGGAGAAGGGAATGGCAAACCACTCCAGTGTTCTTGCCTGGAGAATTCCATGGACACAGGAGCCTAGCAGGCTATAGTTCATGGGGTCACAAAGAGTGAGACACAGCTAAGTGACTAACATACACATGAAGTGTAAATTACCCTTCAGAATGTACTCCAGCTTAAGGTAAGGGAGCTGCTTTCACAATCCCACACTAGTCAGTCACTGGCTGGGAGCTGCTGGGGGATGGGGGAGAGGTAACCTCCTGCCATTTCCAGCCACCTGTGTCTGCAAGCCAAGTGATTCCAGCAGCTTCAGAGCAGTCCTCCAAAACTTCAAGTCTCCACAAGAAGGCAGTTGGAAGCAAAAGCACTCAAAAGTCAAGGGAGGGGCACACAGAAGTGATGAAGAAAGGGAATCTGGGTAGAGCATTGACAGTATTTATTGTAATGGTAGTCAGCAAACTCTTTCTGTAAAGAGTCAGTAAATATTTTAGGTGCTTCAGACCATGTCATCTTTGCTGCAACTACTCAACTCTGCCCTGACAGTGCAAAAGCAGCCATAGAAACTATATGCCTGTTGCAATAAAACAAAGACACTTTACAAAGAACTCTGAGATTTTAATTTCAGTAGCTAGCTTCTAATGACCATTTTCTCCTAAGAGTGTTTGAACCTGCTTAGAAATGCTTACCTTGTTGATGTCCATCAATACTAGAGTGGCATTATCATGATTCTTATCCAATCCTAGCCAAGCCTATAAATTGAAAGACTTTATTAAACCAGAATCTAATCCTCTGTAACTATTACTATTTTGTCCTTCTTTACTATGGTTAAAAAAATACTCTCTTTTGTCTTATTAAATGTTGCATTGGTAATATTTTCAGGAAGGTAGAACTTGACAATATTCTCAGTTGTTCTATGTTTTCTATACTTTAAATTGTCTATAGCTGAATTGTCTATAGTTGAAGTCAGACCCAAGATTTACCAAATTCAATACATTTTACTAGACCCAATTTTTGCTACAGAAACTCTGGGAACTGAAATCTTCCTGTATTTGAAACAGATGTTTTAACAGTTTTGAAATTGTGTGACTTTTATTAAGTATAAATTACCTAAAAAGTTTTTAAGCAAATAGTGCTTTTTATAATTTATGGTGTTCTTTAATTATTAAGAAATTATTTTACTTGATTCAACTGGTCTTTGACAAAGCCTGGTACATAGAAGGAGCCGGCATAAATAAACTTGCTGCTTTCAGTTGACTCCTGGGAGGCTAACTTTGAGGAGTTAAATCTTCATACGTGACAATCTCCATCGGGGATATTCTGAGGAAGTTTAAAATGCAATAAATTAATATTTTATTAGGAAAAAGTCTATAGCTCTGTTTAGAAACAAAAAGCCCTTAAAAATCTAATTAAGTTTTAGATTTTAGAAAAATAACTAAGAATTTTCTATTGAAGGCAACCTACGGAGTAATGTTACAGCTGGGACAGAAAAAGACTGGAAGCACAATTTGTATCAATTCTGGTCACAAATCACATTCACATTTTATTTTAAAGAAAGCCTGAAAATAACCTGAAATAAACTTATTTCATAAAGTAAGAGTATGAAAACTTACTGTTCCTTTTGCTGTATTTTTTATTGTGCTTTGGGACTTGGTTTACTCAACTATAAATTTTTTAATAGCATATTTCTTGCTTTTGCCTGGGAAACTAACAAGAATATGATACTTTAGGGGTTACTTGATGGAAAAGAAAAGTCTTTAAAACTTGCTGAAGCAAGCTCTGGCTCCTGTACTCTTTATCTAAATAAAGTTTCATTTTTTCTTTGATTGTCTTCTAGAAGGCAAGAGAGGCCGTTTCTGTTTATGGGCAAAGATCTGATAAAAGAGAAAGCTTTAAAATCTTTCTACTCTACTAATCCTAAGTGCTAATCATACTCGGAATTTACCTAACAGCACTTCTCAAGAAGCTTTTAAATGTACTTTGTTAAGGGTCAGAGTGCTGATTATGAAGCATTTGCTTTTTTAACCATCATGCTCTAAGAGAGCAGAAATACACTTTAGAGTCCTGGATAAAGCTATACACATCTTAGGCTTTCATTTCAATGTACCCAATCAACCCAATCAAGATAAGCATGACAGGTTGGTAAAAGCAAACAAAATACTGTACCCAAAACATAACATTAGTAGGTTGGTATGTCATTTTTTTTTCTTTTTTTTCATCCAAATGAGCCATGTTCCTGGAAGTCAGAGGCTATAATAAAATAAACTTATGAAACAAAAGGCAATTTAATTAGCATGTCTACATTTTTAGAATATTTTAAAAAACCTGTGTTTTATACTACCTAATGACACAAAATGCTACTTTCTTCACAATGGGTAATTATTTATGCTCTCTGGTTAATGTAGAACTAGTAAACAGAGATAAATATGAGACAGGGAAGACTTCTGATGCTCTTGGGAAGTCAGAGTTTAGATTAACATGAAAGATTCAACATGCAAAAAAAATTTATTGTGTGTTTTCCACATTTTTGCATCTGGATGGATTATAGAAGATAATGTTCAGTCAGCCAAGTTTTTATTGCCATGTTTCAGAGTGAAACTCAGAAAATTTGCATTCATATTTTATCAGCTATTTCATAATGTTCTGTATCTTTAGAATAAATATCCTTTGGCATTCCATTTCTGTCTTTATGATAAACCTATTGGTTTTTTTCCCCCCCTGTTTTCTCCCTCTTGGTAAATATACTGTGACTTTCCAGAATTATTTTCTCAGCTTCTGAGGAAGCAATTTTTCAGGCTTCTTTTACTCTTCATATTTAGAGAAGTCTGTCGATTTTTTTTTTTTTTAAGTTCTCATCATGACTTAACTCTACACTCACCTCAGTTCTAGGTGGAATTGTACCTCACTGGGGCAGGGGGGGAAACACAAACCAGCAGAATGAATATACTTTGGGTAATAATTGTCATGCTATGCTAGTGACATTTGGGTTAATATTTTGTGTTGTGAAAAATATCAAAGCATATCTCATCCTCTAGAGAAAATAAAAGCATGTAATTTAAAAAGAAAAAAAAAACCAAGAAATTTAGAGAGTTGACATCAGTCAATAATATTTATTAAGCAATTGCTATGTTTTCAGAACTTAGAGTAATGAGAAAAGAAGTTTAGGGCATGATATCTACTTCAAAGTACTTTAAGGCCTTACATTACACCTTTGGTACACCTTTGCATTGAATTCTCTCACATGGAAATTAATAATGTAAGAGTTACATCTTGATCAGATTTATTTGGTTTATACACTTGATCATTCACTGTTCATTGAATGTTTATCTAAAGATCACCTCTTTTCTGTAAATTTGAATCACTTTTTGTCTTGAATGAAAATATTCGAATTTCAGTAGAGTTCCAATCAAGGTTATTTTGGCTACAAAGAACAGTCACTTTTTACACTAGCAAAAGAGGGGACTCTATAATGAGATACAGAGGATTTCAAGGATCCCAAGGTGAGATTCATAGTGTGTATTGTAGTAGAGTTGAAAATCAGAAAGCCAGGAAATGAATTCATTCTTATTTCTCTCTGGAATAATGTTCTTTTTAATTTTTGTGTTTCTTAATGTTTTGTTTCTCTCTCCTTTCTGCTTACTGAAAATGTATCTGGCTCAAGTCTCTGGGGCCTCCCTAGGTGACTCAGTGGGTAAAGAATCAGCCTGCAATGCAGGAGATTCAGGGGATGCAAGTTCAATCTGTTCTGGGCTGTCAGGGAAGCCCCTCACCTCACATTTAGCTTATGAAATAATTATTCATATTTTCTGCAATTAACAAAAGAAGAAAAAAAGCGCATTGCTCTATCAAAATATGTAACTTGCCTCAGATGAGTAACTAGTAAGTGGTAGAGGTAACATTCAAACCCTGATAGTATGAATACAAGTACAAAGTTCTCACTCATAAACACCACATTCAGATTTCTGAGTAACATTATTTAAACTAAAAAACCACTCAGACTCCTGGTTTCTTAGGTTCCTACTTTTTTTTATCTAGTAATCGTAATTCACTATTTGGTTTTCTAATACGTATATATGTGGTTCTGTTTTCTTCCATTTCTGATCAGTTAGATACATATTTTAAGCAGGTCTACTTTTAACTTCTTATATTCACATTTTTTCATTTATGAATATAACTTTATATTGTATAGATAATATGAAAATTTGCTACATTATCCTAATATAATTAACTTACTCTGCAGATATTAAAATATAGCTTATTTTCTCTGGCATTATGAAGTATTTCATGCACATTACAAAGGCTCAACACATAATAAGGACCCAGACTCCTATTATCTAGCTTTGCCAAATCTTACCATTTTTACCATATTTGTTTTTATTGTCTTTTAAAAATATAATGAAATATAAAAACATCAGATGAAGTCTATATATGTCTCTCTGACTTAATCTCACCTCTCTCCTCCTAGAGGTTTATACCACTTTGAATGTGATATTTACTTTATCCATGCATTTCTTTTAGTTTACACTTTTAGTACAGATAAAGCATACATAAACAATATATAGCACTCTTTGGGGTATTTTAAACTTTATAAAAATATAATACTTTTTATATATTTTTGGCAACGATATTTTTTTTGTTACAGTTATGCTTCTGAGATTTACCTATGTAGATATATGCAGCTCTGGTTCACTCAATTTTACTGTTGTTTAAGAAAAAAGTTTTTCTCTATTCTCTTGTTGGCTAGTTGAGGCTACAATGAACATGTTTGTACTTGCATCATTGCACACAACTGTGAAAATTTCTTTTGGCTATTACTTACCTAGGAATGAAATTGTTTGATTGTAGACATAGACATCTTCATCATAAATGTATTTTGACAAGCTGCTCCTCAAGTATGGTTTCATAAATATTTTATAAGTTGTATGATAAAAATGCATACTCATTAAAGAACACCTGGGAACACTGGAAAATTAGAAAAACTAAAAATATCTGCATTACATCTAAAATTTTTTTCTTTTTGTTATCATTTGGTTTTATTTTTAAACAAGGAAATATTGGCAAAACTGCTGTTAAAGAGGATTGAAGCTGATACAAAAGAAGTAATATTCTAGCTCACAAATGAAATCTTTTAATCAAAATATCTAAGACCCCATAAACCTACTCTGGAGTCAAGAAGGGATACACTAAATCAGAGCAGGATCTTTAGACCTGGAGAATGTGTTACTTTTAGCAAGTGGTTACATTTGAGCTGAAATGAAGCACCTGAAAAACTTAAAAGGAAAATGTGATCAGGAAATCAATCTCTGCTTTTCTTATATACCTTTTATTTATAAAGCTGTGACCTTAATAATATGCAACTTCAGGCTTGCTTTTTTATTATATTATAAATGTATCCTTGTGGTATTATAAACTTTTATTAATGTCATTTCTAGCAACTGTTAACATTTCCTGAAATGAATATGCCATAGTTTACATCATAATTTTCCATTGTTGGGTATTTGGATTGTTTCTTACTTTTCACCACTTTAAATAACATTTATATAATTTTAATATAAAACATTATAAAGGTTTCATATTATTATGGGTCTATCTTCTTATTTTAATATTACAGTACATACATATTCTATGCCCACCATTGAATTCTGCAAGCCACAGCAGAAGATGGAGTCACACAGGAGATGTTTCATCTTCCTAGGTGGAGAGAATTCCATACTAACACTTAGATAATCTGAGACATTGAATAATTTGAATCAAGTGGTTAAATATGTTTAAAGGATTCATCTGAAGAGTCTCTATGAAATCCTACCTGAATAATTATCATCCCTGCATTTTAACAAATTTATTTTGGACTCTGGGGAGCTGCTGATTATTGAAATGGCTGAGAAGAATCAGAAGTGGTTCACTGCTTTTGTTTTTCCTCTAGGACTATATCCTCCACCATTTCCAAAGTTAACATATTGTGGAGAACATGTGTGCATGTAACAGACACAGTTTCTAAACTTTTTCATATCCTTTATCTTTTGTAGTTTTGAACAAGCTGTCATAATAAGGTCACAGTACAGGCTCAGCCTTATGTTAACAACTTTTTGGAGCTGAAACAGAATTCCCTTGGGAAGACTTCACAGCAGTGTTTGGCATGTGAACAGAAAAATATCAAAAGAAAGAATGACACAATTTTTCCTGTGATGGGTTTTCACTATGTGATCAAAACTCTGGAATATTGATTATAAGGTAGAAGGAAGCTGAACTTGAAACATAATACACAAATGTGGATTTCTAATGCAGCTGAAACAGATTAATTTCCCCACTGGTTCCATTTATTTCATAATAGGCCCCACCATCATACATGCTGCAAGAAAGATTTTCTTCCTAGGCAATTCTTTGGATAAAATGACAAATAGATTTCAAGTGAGAGGATTTAGCATAGATTGGCAAGCTCAGTGAAGTTTCTGGCCTCAGCTTTGATAGAATGGTAGAAAGAAAGTTGAAGCAGCTACACTGTGCCAAGAAGAAAACTTTGAGTTGCCACTATTGTTGTGCACCTTGAGCTTGTTACTGTTCAAATGTATGACTTTATCAGAGTTGATGAGGCTGAGGCAATAGAAGGAAATGAATGGATTAATAAAGGAAATACAATGGTGATGAATAAAAGAAGGTAAGAGAGATGTGGGTTTTGGTTAAGTAGAAGTTTTGCCTCAGAGGGACATAATGTGCTTTAGTTCACTAAATACTAGGCAAAATTGTGAACAAAAATATAAGAATCTCAAGTTTTTCAGTGTCATCAATCATCTTAAATTTGGGGCACAGTGTACAAGTCCATGACTTGACGGTTATCTGACACTCCAGCTTCATTTTTCATATCTCCCCTCCAATAGTACCCCAGCTACACAGCAGGCTGATTCTTGCTGAGATATCTCTGCATATTCCAATTCTCCGGTCTAGAACATGATTATTTCTGAGGATTTAAGAACTGCTTTTTGTTTTGGAAATGTTATACTTGCAATTTTTATCTGTTTAATACCCTTGACTGTTCCCCATTTCTGCTCCAGATCTGAAAGTTTTGACTTTAGTAGAAGTGACATGGCAGATTCTTTCACCAAGCTTATTCCAGTAGAATCTAGATGGGGAGGATCCTGCTGCTTATTGCATCATTAAGATGGAAAAAGCTCTTTACATTAGGAGAAATAAAGATAAACAGAGTACAAGATGGCAGACTTGAGATCATAGGCTTTAATTCCACATGTGAACAATTATAAAGTCAGCTTGCTTGTTCAGTCGCTATGTTGAATCTGACTATTTGCAACCCCATGGATGGCAACATGCTGGACTTCCCCATCCTTCACTGCTTCCTGGAGTGTGCTCAAGCTCATGTCCATTGAGTCAGTGATACCTATCCAACAATCTCATCCTTTGTCGCCCCTTTCTCCTCCTGCCCTCAATCTTTCCCAGTATCAGGGTCTTTTCCAATGAGTTGGCTCTTCACATCAGGTAACCAAGGTGTCGAAACTTAAGCTTCAGCTTCAGCATCAGTCCTTCCAGTGAGTATTCAAGGTTGCTTTTCTTTAAGATTGACTTGTCTGATCTCATTGATATCCAAGGGACTCAAGAGTTTTCTCTAGCACTACAATTCAAAAGCATCAATTCTTTAGCACTCAGCCTTCTTCATGCTCCAACTCTCACATTCATACATAACTACTGGAAAAACCATAGCTTTGACTAAATGGACCTTTGTCAACAAAGTGATAATCCCTGCTTTTGAATACACTGTCTAGGTTTGTCATAGCTTTCCTTCCAAGGAGCAAGCATATTTTAATTTAATGGCTGCAACTAAGATCAACTATTCCCCTAGGGTAACTCTAGAGTACAATTAGTTAAGCAATACAGAAAATAATAAGATGGAAACTGTGTCATCAAAAGTACAAAATATTGAGATGTAAAAAGATAAAACTGAAATGTGTTCTAGCTTAAGTATATGTGAACCTCACAGTAACCACAAAGAAAAACCTTATAGTAAATGCACAAAGGAAAAATAGAAAGGAATTTGAACATAACACTAAAGAAAACTACCAAATCACAGGGAAAGGAAAGAGAAGACAAAAAGACATACAGGAACCAGAAAAACATTGAGAGAACAAACAAAATGGTAATAAGTATATACCTCTTAATAATTACTTTAAACATAATGGACTAAATATACCATTCAAAAGATGTAGAGTGTCTGAATGAAGAAAAAGAAAGATCCATACATATGCTGCCTACAAGAGACTAATTTTAGAGCTAAGCACACACATAGACTGAAGGTGAAGGAAGGAAAATTTATTCCATGCAAATGAAAATGGAACAAAACACCAGGGTATCTATACTCACATCAGACAACACAGACTTTAAAACAAACTGTAATAAAAGACAAAGAAGGGCACTACATAAAAATAAAGGAGTCAATCCAGTGAGAAGATATATGCACCAAATTAAAAGCAAGAGAGTTCTAGAAAAGCATCTATTTCTGCTTTATTGACTATGCCAAAGCCTTGGACTGTGTGCATCACAATAAACTGTAGAAAATTCTGAAAGAGATGGGAATACCAGTCCACCTGACCTGCCTCTTGAGAAACGTGTATGCAGGTCAGGAAGTAACAGTTAGAACTGGACATGGAACAACAGACTGGTTCCAAATAGGAAAAGGAGTATGTCAAGGCTGTATATTCTCACACTGCTTATTTAACTTATATGCAGAGTACATCATGAGAAACGCTGGGCTGGAAGAAACACAAGCTGTAATCAAGGTTGCCAGGAGAAATATCAATAACCTCATATATGCAGATGACACCACCGTTATGGCAGAAAGTGAAGAGGAACTAAAAAGCCTCTTGATGAAAGTGAAGGAGAGTGAAAAAGTTGGCTTAAAGCTCAACATTCAGAAAACTAAAATCATGGCATCTGTGAAGTGATGGTCCCATCACTTCATGGCAAATAGATGGGGAAACAGTAGAAACAGTGTTAGACTTTTTTTTGGGGGGGGCTCCAAAATCACTGCAGATGGTGACTGCAGCCATGAAATTAAAAGACGCTTACTCCTTGGAAGGAAAGTTATGACCAACCTAGATAGCATATCAAAAAGCAGAGACATTACTTTGCCAACAAAGGTCCATCTAGTCAAGGCTATGGTTTTTACAGTAGTCATGTATAGATGTGAGAGCTGGACTCTGAAGAAAGCTGAGTGCCGAAGAATTGATGCTTTTGAACAGTGGTGTTGGAGAAGACTCTTTAGAGTCTCTTGGACTGCAAGAAGATCCAACCAGTTCATCCTAAAGGAGATCAGTCCTGGGTGTTCATTGGAAGGACTGATGCTGAAGCTGAAACTCCAATACTTTGGCCACTTCATGCGAAGAGCTGACTCATTGAAAAAGACCCTGATGCTGGGAGGGATTGGGGCAGGAGGAGAAGGGGACAACAGAGGATGAGATGGCTGGATGGCATCACCGACTCGATGGACATGAGTTTGGGTAAACTTCAGGGGTTGGTGATGGACAGGGAGGCCTGGTGTGCTGCAATTCATGGGGTCACAAAGAGTCGGACACGGCTGAGCAACTGAACTGAACTGACTGATGCACCAAACATTGAAGCATAAAGATATATAAAGCAAATATTAATGGACTTAAAGGGAGAAATCAGAAGCTGTGCAATAGTATATAAGAGGATTTTACATGTCATTTACATCAATGGATAGATGATCCAGACAGAAAATCAACAAGGATACATTGTCCAGAAAAGGATACATTAGGAACTTCCCTAGTAGTCCAGTGGTCCATGATTCCATTGCAGGGAGCTTGAGTTTAATTCCTGATCATAGAACTAAGCTTTCACATCCCACATACCCCACAGCATGGCCTCATATTTATTTTTTTAAAGGACACATTAGATCAAATAACATTAGATAAATATAGGATATTTCACCCCAAACAGCAGAATATGCATTCTTCTCAAGCTCATATGGAAATTCTCTAGAATAGATGACATTTTGGGTCACAGAGCAAGTCTCAGTGAATTCAAGAGGAATGAAATCACATCACTCATTCTCTTCAACCACAATGGTATGAAACTAGAAATCAATCACTAGAGAAAAACATCAGAAAAACCACAAACAACATGGAAATTAAACATCATGCTACTGAATAATAAATAAGTCATTAGAGAAATCAAAGGAGAAATAAGAAAAAACACCTAAAGACAAATGAGAACAGAAATATGACATACAAAAAATCTATGAGAGGTAGAAAAAGCTGTTCTAAGAGGGAAGTTCAGAGTAATACAGACCTACCTCAAGAAAAAAATAATCCAACTTCACACATAGAGGAACTAGAAGAAGAACAAATGAAGCCCCAAGTTAATAGAAGAAAGGAAATAATAAAGATCAGAGAAAAAATAAATAGAGAAAAAAATGGAAAGGATCAGTGAAACTACAAATGGGTTCTTAGGGGAAAAAATTGACAAGCCATTAGCTTGATTAATCAAATAAAGAAAAGATTAAAGAAAAATAATACCAGAAATGAAAGAGGAGAAATTTCAAATGATATCAGAGAGATACAATGAGTCATAAAAGACTACTACAAACAATTTTACCCACACATATGTGGACAATTAATCTACAAAAGGGAGGAAAGGACAAGACCCTAATGCTGGGAGAGGTTAAGAGCAGGAGGAGAAGGAGGCAACAGAGGATGAGATGGTTGGATGGCATCATTGACTCGATGGTCATGAGTCTGAGCAAGCTCTGGGAGATAGTGAAGGACAGGGAAGTTTGGCCTGCTGATGTCCATGGGTCACAAAGATTTGGACACAACTGAATGACTGAACGATAACAGCAAAGTCTCTTCAATAAATAGTGTTGGAAAAACTGGGTGCTGCTGCTGCTACATTACACTATACACAAAAATTAGCTCAAAATGTGTTAAGACTTAAATGTAATACTTGAAGCTATGAAGTTCCTAGAAGAAAACATACGCAATAACCACATGACATTGGTTTTAGTGATGTTATTTTGGATTTGACTCCAAAGGCAAAGTAAACAGAGATAAAAATAAACAAATGACTACATCAAAGTAAAAACCATCATCAAAATGAAAAGGCAATCTAGTAAATGAGAGAAAATATTTGCAAATCATATATCCGATAAGGGATTGATATCTAAAATATACAAAGAACTCATATAACCACAAAACAGAAAATTAAACAATCA